ACACACACACACACACACACACAATGCCCTCCTTTATCCCCCCACCAAAAAAAAAAGAAATGTAAGACAGGACTTTGAAGCAAGGATAAAACACAAACACTGTTTTCATTAAGTTCTGTCTTTTCTTCTTCTGGAACTAAGTACACGCATAGTTGACTGTAGCCCTTGACAACCCTCTGTTTATCATCCTCACACTGAACATAAAATTAATTGAAAACCTGAGCTTCCTCTGATGTATATCCTTGGCGTCTCCTGTTATGAACATTGTTTTGCAAGTGCAAGAAATATATAGCTGTTGTTGAATGAAGTTCGTTTGGGGGGGGGGGGGTATTTCGTTTTGTTAATTGTTTATTTGTTCGTTTTCTTTTTTCGAGGGGAGATGGATGGGGATGATTGTGCAATGTTTCGTGAGCAGAAAGCATTTCCGCAATAAGATTCGAAAAGGAAATTCGTTGCATGATCAATTTTATAAAGCTCAGCAGTTCAACTTTTCATTATTAGCAACCAGCTTAAGTCTCTGTTTGTGGATTTCTGCTCTTCACATTTGTCGTTCGATCCTGTGATTGATTGTTTAAATATGTTTCACACCCGTTTCAACGCATACAAGATCAGTCGGTGGTTGGCGGGTGTTCGGGTGTGTTTTGCTTCTTCTTTCCTTTCAAACATATATTGTCGTTTTCTCATCTAATGTTTTTATTGTGTTGCAAGTGCAGTAAAACTTTTACAGAAAATATAAGTAAATTTAAATCCTTTAAGTGGTCGGTTATTTTGACTGTTACTGTCAAAGCTGACTCACGCCGAGTAGGATGCAGCATCACCATAAAGATGATGGCGTTTCTAGAAAACAAAATATTCCCCTCATGGGAAGCGAAGGCGTATCTTTCACATGACATGGCGAAAAGCTTTACTATTGCATCATGAGTTAGACCGTACGAGTAACATATCACTTCGTTTACACAGACTCTTTCCAGATTCAGCTAAGTAACTATACTTATGCTACATAAGATACATTTTGAAAAATGATATCATCGTAATTGTCATACGAAATCGTTTTATCTGAAAAAGCAAAGGGACTATGTTGATGCCAAGCTCCTTTTTTGTTACGATCATACCCTTATTCCCTTAAACACAGAGAAACATTAAAACGAACTAGACTAAGTTTACTTTGCTGTCCAGGGTAATTTTTTAAATTTTATATTGAACTCCGTAAACCTCTTTATCCCCATGGCAACAGAACCTTCCCCCTCATGGCATCAGCGATGATGACATCACTTCCGAGTCAGACATCATGGAGCCGCCCATCAACTTCCGGCGTCAGGTGGACGACATGGGCCGGTACGAGGAGTCCAGGATCCGTGACGTCACCAACGAGCAACCCAGGCCGATGCCACCCCCGGGGGAATCCGTGGGCTCCAAAGGAAGGCGTGTCTACTTCTTCAGGAACGGGGATGTGCACTTTAAGGCCAGGCAGGTCAGTGGACTGAATAACTGAATACACAGACTACATACTATCGTCACTGTTAAAACACAAATCAACTGCTCAGTGTAACACTTTGTCACTTTTTTTTCAAAATGGCGTATGGCAGTTGAAATACACATGTCGTCTTTTGTATTGTTTTATGTTGTTGCTGTTTGGTTTTGTTGTCGTTGTTGTTTTTGTTGTTGTTGTTGTTGTTGTTATTGTTGTTGTTATTATTATTGTTGCTGTTGTTGTTGTTTGTTTTGTTTTGTTTTTGTTTTATTTTGTTTTGTTTTAACACAGCGTTGTCTACGCCAACCTTAGAACTTGAGCGAATATTAAATAAGGATACGAAACGAAAAGTTGTAATTTTTACTAAACCTTACTCCTACTTTTTACTATTTACTTTTGCTGGTACCGGTGGATGTTGCAGGGAGACACAATTGTCTGTCAACTGGAAGTCGAGTGGCATGGAAGAGAGTCATTTCGTGGGCTCTGGGGGTGTGCTTTACAGAGTCGACCCAGCGACGTCTTGGTCTCCCTCTATTTCTCCAGCCAGGGTAGAATTTAGTAGTGCGGGCTTGCAGTGCTTGTTGGTCTGGTAGAATTCTTGAGAGGTGGTCGAATAAATTAATTCTTGGTTGTTAGATATGGAGGAGAGCTGAAGAAGAAGAAGAAGAAGAAGAAGAAGAAGAAGAAGAAGAAGAAGAAGAAGAAAAAGAAAAAAACATTATGGCGCCAATGTTCATATCTCACCTATAACTAAATAATAAACCTGAAAATTACCTGTAAGTGCAGCTATTGTTCTGTCCAGATCCTTGTGAACAGCAAGCTGTACCTGAACCTGGAGAAGCTGCTGGTGAACCTGAGCTCTATCGTGGAGACGTCCACTGGTGTGAAGCATATCTTCTCGTGGCCGGAGGGTCGTGAGATCAAATCCATCACGGAGTTTGAGAACGGGAAGTACTACGTCTGCTCCAGCACAAACAAGCTGCAGGTAGGTGACTTAACGAGTTTTAGGCAGTTACACCCCCAGTCGTGGGCGACAATACTCCCAATTGTAGATGACACCCTCAGTCGTAGGTGATACCCTTAGTCTTAGAAGAAGCCCCCAGTCGTAGAAGAAGCTCTGCCGTCGTAGGTGAAGCCCTTAGTCGTGGGTGACACCCTCAGTCGTAGGTGAAGCCCTTAGTCGTAGGTGACACCTTCGGTCGTAGAAGGAACTCTGCAGTCGTAGGTGAAGCCCTTTATTCGAAGGTGACGCCCCCAGTCTTACTGTCTCAGGAATGTGTATTTATTATGATATGTGTCTCGATGCGGTAGAATCAGACGCTCGTCAATTTTTGATCATGTAGAGATAATGATATCATCTTAAAGCTTGTTCCTTTTTTTTTACTTCAGATGAAAAAAATAGCCGCCTATGTCAAATAGAAATCGGGATATTTGAGATTAAAGGAGGTAGGGGTGTCGCCTAGTTTCAGAAGTAAAACAAACACGAGAATGGCCGCCAACATTTGGTGACTCTCAAAGCTTGAGAGTCTTTGAAAAATGCAAATTTCCATACAGTTCACACAGAAATATGTTTTTAAATAGATATGCGAGGAGTTGAGCAAAAAAATGATGAAAAATTCCACACGAACGGGAAAATGTCCGTTCCTTGGATTTCATTATTTTGACGAGAGCCTGATTTCACCACAGTGTGCCACTTACGTCTTTCAGTACGCAATCCCAACTTTCTGTTTTAAATTAAAGTAGGTGTGTTTTACGCCCCTACCAACACAATGTATCTAATTTAGGAGGCGGGCTTCGACCCTGCCTGTCAGGGCCAACCGTGACAGAAAGAGCTACAACACCCCAGCAGAAAGACTGAGATACTCGATGAAAATTCTCCCCTACTTGGGAATCGAACTCAGGTGTTCTGCGGGAGACAACGAAGCGTCTAATGGTCCCACCGCAGACGTCGTTTGTTCAGGCCCAACGTTAGACTGACTCGTATATTTAGAACATTTCCTCTGAACAGCCCAAGGGAAATCAGACAATGATGGACAAACAACCTACTTAGAAATCTCATGAGTTCTGCATAACGACATGTGCTGTGCCGTCCCGAGTGGGAAAATGTGCCAAATTGTGTAAGGTGTAACGCCCTTTGCAGCACTGTGAAGTTACGTAAGAGCCTTACTTCCCACGTCTTGGGACTCATGAGGTGATCACTAACGACCAGGCAGATCTGTCTGTAGTTAAGGCGGGGAGATCCTTTTGCTTCTTGTTTACTAGTAGAGCATTTTTATTCTGGAGGCGAGGCCTCTTAATGTAACGTCCATCTTATTGGAAAACAAAATGTATATGTACAGTGCTTTTCCCTAGGACACAATGTCTAGCCAAGCTGAGCCTAGAACCCCCATAATAATAATAATCATAATAATAATAATCATCATCATAA